AGCAAATACCTGGCCCAAATCACTCCAGTAACGTAAATAAAAAATCAACAGGCTTGTGCCTCGTGGATGCCGCTAATATCCCGTGCCAATTTCTTGAACAAGGTTTCGATTCATCGCAACTGCATCGTAAATGCTTGTTCAGAGAAACAGTACAATTTCTGACGAAATCATGCAGCCGAGAATAAATTCGAAGGATATTCTTAAATACTAATAGAAAAGGATAATAATATATCTTACATACGATAGGCTCTAGAGAATAACTGATCCGGACCTTGCTGCCTGTCAGTTTCTGTTACCCATGCACGGGACGGCGTCAAGCAAGCAACGACCGTTTTCGTTTGTTCTAGCCATTAAATTAAAACTAAATTGAATTTTCGTCTTATTTTAAACGTAGAAAGTAAACTACACAAATCGATGAACGAAAGTGAAATGCAATAAATATCAGTAAAATGCTCGACTTGAATAGCTGGAGACATTATTCCAAAGAAAAAAGGGTATTTCTAACTTCTTATATAGATAAAGGCCATATACTGTTCTTAGACAAATGTATTTCAACAAATCCTGGAATAAATTTAATATGCAGCAATAACAGCCCTGGAAAGAAACTTAAACATTTGCGTAGATTTACCAAATCTAACGACAGTGGGTGAATGGACTTCTAAAATATTATCGGCACACATTATGCAATACGACTGTAGTGTTAATCCGAAACAGCTAAATGATGATACGTTGTATGAAATAACCTAGGAACCAAGCCTTTTACATGTAAAAGACTGAAACGAACAAATTAGAAATAGAAGATATTACATAACTGTTTCTTGCGAGTGATGCGGTGTTGATGCAAGGAACAGTTTCAATTACTCTGTGGTGGTTATAAATGCAGATGCAGCTATCTTTATATTCACTGCAGCTAGAGCATTTAAAGCATTCTATTCATTGACCATTAGATACAGCGTGTCGCAGAGTTTACTTGCGAAGGCAAACGTCGCAAAAGGCAATCCAATTCTCCCTATTTACCTGGATATTAACATCTCAAAAGCGGATCAGATTTGTTTCAAATTTTCAGCGTGTCATAAGAAGCAATCCTCAAATAGGCATTCATCCTCAAATGCCCATTACTCTTTCGCTAGTTGCCAACACAGTCTGCGATATGACGGGAAGACCTATCGTATACTGCAGTATTCAAGAAGTCCAAATAAGAAAGCTGTCAAATTTCAAAAAGGAAAAGACTTTAACTTAAATTGTTTATAGCTAGTTATTAAATCACTCATAGTCAGACACATCCTTAGAATAATAAAAAGTACGCTTATTCTAAAGTATTTTCGAAAATTCATGTTGGAAAAAGACGGTCTTGAAGCGTTGCGCAAATACGAAGTCAAACGTGAGAGAATTCCTAACTTCAACTATCTCTACAAAGAACTCACAAATAAACGATATGATATGAAAAACTGACTATATCCCGTACCCAAAACTGCCATAAAAAGTATAAAAAATGTGGGCTTACACTCGCATTATGGTCTACCGCGAAACGTTTACAAGAAAATATTTTGATTCTACATCATGCTACATTCAGTCCCAAAGCCACACAAACTAAGCAGCAGCGAAGTTTTCAAATATTATGTACAAAACATGGCGTAACGAAGAATTTAGCCATGATGGATTTTCTACCATATGGTATCGAATTTTAAAATATCTATACCAATAACATCTAACCTGTTTTTTCTGCCATTTATGAACCGTTCATTTCAAAAACATTTACAGGAATGATGTCAGCTGTTTTCCTCTAACACTGTGACCATTCTTATTATCACATTAAACTGGCAAGAAAACAAGTTTTGTATAAATAGGTACTACCCAACAAACATCTGGTTACCAAGAAAATCTGGACTGCGCTTTAGTCAGTGAAAACAATCAACGTGTCATTCCGTCAGGTTTACACAACATAATCGAAATGCCTATGCTTCTAAATGACTGAACGTCGCTTAAAAGGGCCACTGGTCAATGGAATGTACTATTTATTGAATAAGATTAGTTTTCAACCCCAAGTCATGACGTTTCAGGCAAAGCACCGTAGGTTCTGAAATATCGTGAAGCCAAGACTTGTGAACAAGTCCTTTAGGCCTGCATAATATATTCAAAGAAATGAATCACATGACGCGAATCTGCAGGAACGAAAAAATACTTATATGCACTTAGGGTAAAAGTATTGCCCAACGAAGTGACATTGTTTTGCATTCAACAAAGGCGGGGAAGGTGGATCACTGCACTTCAGTATCAAGAAATTCTCATTAATGATGTTAAGGGACCTTTAAGCATCCAGAAGCAAGCAGCAACGTGACAATGACGCACGTCTTATTAAATATTGCCGTACACTACCTCTGAAAATAAACGCCGCTTACAGTGATGCATCGCGTCACTGGAAAAAAAATGAAAGCTGAAAGCTGAAGTTTAACATAAATCAAAGCATAAACAAACAAAAAAATCTGTCGTTGAAACAAAGATTTGCCATATCGTTTCGATAGCCATTTTGCACTGCGACATTCCTTTTGCGGCAACAGCAGAAACAGATTACGAAACAAGGATCTATTTATTTCGACAAAACTCAACTTTCCCAACATGGTATTCAGAAGATGAACACAGGTAACATAATAAGAGCAGTGTGAGTTACAGCAACCTTCACTTGACCTGCCCGTGTGAAATAATGAGAATAAAATGTCGTCGAAAAGAACAATATGCTACATGGAAGAGCCAGGTCGAAGAAGCCATGCGAAATCTGTTTCCAGTAAAGCAGTGAATCGCATCCTTATATTCCTGATAACAACGTATTTTCTAACAAATGCTACCTCTCTTTTAGCCAGAAGAGCATGACAGACTAACAACCTCGAAAAACAAAACATGCAACTTTATACGTATTGAAATTAAGTACCAGTAAGATTACTCTAGTAAATAATGAAAGCACGATATATATGCGGCCTACACCGATGTAGTGACCAATGTTTTAACATTTTTCCATCACTGGCGCCTTTACCTCATGCGTAAGGATAACGTCGCTTTCTGTAGCTATAGAACTGTAAAGTAACAAGAACATGAGAAGTAGGATGGCAGGTTAAGATAAAGAATAAACGAAGTGCAAGAAGGCGGGGATGGGCAGGGAGTTATGTTGTGCCCACGAACCGAAAGCATACAAAACTAACGAGCATATAATGTAAAGCTTGATAAAAGAAATAGCTGACTTACCATATCACGAACAGGAGATGGCGAGCAAACCTAACCTGTCTAATGCAAAAGTAAAGGAAACAATGCAAACGATTCTTAATATTCAACGAGTTTTTCGTTTCGGAATTATGCCTACTTTAGTAGTTCCATCACTTTCATCAACTTTAAATGCTATATAGCAAAAATACGTTAAGTAAAAATCCGGGATGGAAGCGTCTGGGGCCACCGTAACCACTAATACCCTTATAGCAGGGTATTCATATGTGTTCATCGCTGTCTAACCCCAGAATAAAAAATGATTACTTACGAGTTGAACGGGAGGGGGAAGATCAAAACGATACTTGACGAACGACGCTAGAAAACAGAAACAAAGTAACATCTCTCAGACCAAGTGGGTGTTAGAACCTGCAAAATCCAACATGTAATCATTGCCCTGACGGAGGACAGCACTTTTCACCATTACCGTCAAGCACACTGCAGCAGATACGAAGCCTCTACCTAAGACCTTCTTTCGACAACGCTGGGAGATGAATATTTTTTTTGAAAACTTACAAATCAA